AAACAAACCACTGATCGCATCTTTCTGCGTACTACTCACAAGTGAGTATTATCTCATGACACTACTACGCTTGTAAGACGAATGATCGGAAGTGCTTTGTATGTAACATATGTTTCCATCAACTGTTTGGTATATTCGCTTGCTGCCCGAGGCCGAACAATGGAAATGGATTAAGCTGCCTCCGATTCAAGGTAATTTTCACTCCCTCAAATGGAAGGAATGTTTCTATGAGTAATTTTAACAAACAGATTATTTATCGATCTCAATTTAAATAAAACATTTGTTTCATACCTAGGACGATGCTTAGGAATAGTTGCTTTACAAGTTGAATAAAAATGGGGCGATATCAAGTTTACAAAAATAGATAAAATCAAGAATGTTAGTATTGATCGATAGGTCCACCATATAGGAAACTAGACGAAAGTTGAGCACTTGTTCGGTGCTGTTGATGTAAGCTTGTGGCTAAGCTGACACATGGTGCACTGTACACAAGCGCCCGTAGTGCCCATGCGTGGGTTCGAATCCCGCCGTGGTTACTGAACTTTTCACAACTTCAGCATTACACTCCAATCTGTCAAATAACAATTTACCATGTATTCAGTCACGCGAACAGCACATGACGGTCGTCCCGGATCTTTGCGCCAGTCAAGCGTCAAACACCACAATGCTCCCTCTTTCGAACTTTCATTTCCATTCGAGGACAGTTCTTCCGCGAACGAGAATGGTTGTTTGGCGGTCGGAGTTAGGACACAAGTGTCATCAAAGGCCAGGTCCGGGCGTGCGTCTGTGACAAACGCCAGCGCCTTGTGATTTGCAAGGTCAGTTGACAGACGGTTGTAAGGTGGAATAGTTGGTGGTCTGTAGCACACTTCCAAGTGGTTACGAAAGCATGATACTTCAGCTGAAATGAAACGAAAAGAACACAGGAGAAAGTAATGATGGCATTCATTCTCGCAGATGTGAATCAGTTCAGGGTATTTCACTGCCCAAAACCCTTATATTGTAGTTTACAGTGAAGAATAATAATTGAAAAACAGGGGTGGTAAAGAGCGTCTGTAAAGTGCTAAAAACAGAGGAGTTAGTTCAAATTTTCTTGGATACCACTGTTTGTGAAGTTTATTAATGCTAGGGGAACACACTTTTTGCCACTTGATTATGCGCACATCTTTATCTCCCTTTCATATAATTTGTTTGGTGGATTTGACTAACAAATGTACCGTGATTACTCAGTACTAAACTCCAACGCGTTAGTTATTAAACGAAATTATCTGTACACCAACTTGATGTACCCATTTCAAAATAAAGGGATACCACAGATGTTTATTTGAAAATTAAAACCACCAGCAGCAAGAAACGTTAACGGTCCCTACATTGACAAATGACTAGTGTTTCATGAACCACAATGAATTCCGACAATGCTTTTCTGGGACCTTCAACCAGATTTTGAAATTGAACTACTCCTATTTTAATTGAGTAGTATTTTTTGAATTGAAAAAGCGATTCCAGTGATGTATGTGGTTTACGATTGCACTGGGGAAAAGAAAATTTTTACATTTAGAACGGATTATATGGTTCCGTAGGATTCAGCAAAACGCTTGATCCATTGCATTATTGTGAATCGATGGCTGTTTATGGTACACATTTTGTCTTTGTGAAAGACCTCGACGCGATAGGCGTGCTTAGTCTCTGCTTTGGTTAAACTTATTCAACACAGGTCTGTTGGATGCCACAGTCCTGGTTCCTAAACAATGGTTCATATGAGAGCAAACGTAACTTAAGATGTCATTTTAACCTAAGGATTCATAGAGAGTATTTCGTACAGAGCTGTGAGTAGAGGTTAACACAGAACGTGTTCACTGCTGGGCACTTCACTGCTAACGCTCCACGGGGAACGTGTTGACCCAAATAAGTCACGTATCCCCTTCCCAAAGCAATGAAAACAGATTTGTAAGGATACGTGTTTAAAGTAGACTGACGCAAAAAAAGAAGAGTTATTTGTTCTTGGTTTTTAAGCTCTCCTTTGTTTTTACATGTGTCCCTGTTTCGGAATAGAACCTTTTACCAATGACATTTAATACTGTTTCCCACTTTTCCCACTGACAGCGGGTCACGTGTGATACATACGAATTGAAAACACACGCTAGTTGACAAGTTAAACCGAAAAAAACATGTAAAATGACCCAGATTACCAGGTTTGCAGCTGCCAACCCGTGAACCAAATTTGGGTAAGCGCGTACGGCACAGTTTTATTCTCCTCGATTATTCTCGGCTTTCGAGAATAAACTATTCCCTTTAGATATCCCCATAGACCGAAATTCAAGGGGGACAGATCAGGTGATCTTAAAGACCATTCCATTTACCAATTTGTGTCTTCGTGTGGAACCACTAACATAAGCTGTACCACCTACCGCTTGTCTGAATGCATTTGAGAACATCAGCCAAGTTGGCATAGTCGCGGATTGACGAGAAGCAATCAAGGCTCATTTGATCAAATCCGAATATCGTGTCAGAATGAGTGAGTCAGTCAGGCCCATGTACACGATCACCGGAGTGAGATCGAAGCAGGTCAAGCATCTTTCACTGTCCACAGTCGAAGCGATTGCGATTCCGTTGAACTATCATCCCTCCTTGTTCGTTCAAAAACAGTCAGTTAGAGCTGTGGATTTGCCATGACACTAGAGTGTCATAAAGCCGGTTATCAACTGAGTGTCAAACGGTTGATGTATCTGATACATTTTACAGTACAAATGCTGTTTACAGAATGAGTTCTGCACATGGTAACTGACACACTTGGACGTGTGGCAAGCGGTTTTTACGGATGAGGCCATTTTCACTTGAACGAAAATGTGACAAGCTCTATTCGTCGGGCCGTAGAAAACTCGAGATAATTTAATGGATCCAAATCGGTTCATAGTCCCAAGGTGTTTGTTTGTGCTGGTATTGTGCACGGCAAGATTGTCGGTCCATACTTTTTCAACGGAAAGGTAACAGGTAAGAACAATTTTGCTTGTTAAATTGTTTAAGGCGCTTCACATTTGCACATGTTACGAGAAAATGTGGTTCCTGCCATCAGGCGTATAGAAACTGAAGTTGGTACTACAATTTGGTTCCAACATGACGGTGCACTACCACAAAATGTTCTTGTGGTGAGACGTTTCGTAGACTCGTAATTTAACTACAGATGGATTGACCGAGGAGGATCAAAGGAGTGGCCTTCAAGATCTTTCAGCGGGGATACCTAAAGTGAACAGCGTATTCCCGAAAACCGAGAACGACCGAGAAGCCTAAACAGAGCATTGTGGCGCAATGCGAAAGTATTCCAACTGCTGCCATTCTGAAGGTGGAAGAAAACTCTCTTCGCCTTATTTTGCTATGCAAGCAGCAGAATGGAAAACATATGGAAAAACTCTTGTGATGTGAATATATTATTTCCGTGATATTTCTTCTTTCTTTCTTTTTTTCGGAATTGTATCCCCGAAGTAGTTAGCAGGATCGTTCAATGCGAAAACAACCAGATGGGAAATAAAAAAAGAGTTTCGCGTGGGCCCACATTAGGGGAGATTGTTGTCCGCTATTAAGACAAGTTCAAAATTTGTTTATGATTATCTGTTTACCGAACCCGCTTCCGCGTGCACCTTAGACGAGTCAAGCGTTGGCCCAATTTCATCATCGCTTGAGCATTTTCCATTCCGAATTTTCCACACGATGCACCGCTCCACAACTGATTCTCTTGGGGTGATTCTCTACCAGCACATCGGATTCGGAACCTATCCTCCTCCTGTGCGGGCCCGGATATTGCATAACCGATTGGGTCAGTTTATCGATTGATCGAATGGTTCAGCCCTTCAACAACGGTCCTGGTGCTTCCCCAGCTAACCCGAGCGACAAACCACACCTTGTTTACAACCCTGAGTCTCAGGCAGACCCAGTGAACTTCCATTGTGCAGCAGGAGTGCCATCAGCACACGGATGGATGGACTGCATGTAAGAGCAAGAGCATTACAAAACGTACAAACTGGTATTCAGACAGTCTCCTGTCGGAGTGAAGGATTTTAAGCGCGGCATATCGTGGAATGGTCAGAGGGAATTTACTTGTTTATAGTCACGGGTGAGAGGGACGAGACGATGGTAAACGATGGAGCAGTCGCACTGTATATCTCACCCTGGCGAATTCCTGATTCGCTACTAATGTATTTTTTAATGAATGCTAGTGGTGAAGCTATAAATTACGTGTAATTAATTCCAGCCCCTTTCCAACAAGCGTCATTTCACGAGATTACGAAAATATCTTTAAGGTGAAAGATGAAAAATGAGCCTTCGGAAATTATATACATGTGGAGTCCGCAATTAATTTGCTCAGCCATTCATTCGGAAATGAGCATTCAGCCGGAATGACCGTAATGGTAAGATTTAAATCAGTAGTATGTATCGACCTGCTTATTACGGAATTTAAATCCGGATATTTAGCATTGAAAGTTACCACTGTATCGACTATATCACACTAGAGTTCCACAGCATCAGGTTGGCAAGACATAATACTCCGATTCGAGGCATCCGGTGTTAACATCCCGTCTGTCGTCGTGTACCACCGATGAGCACCAAGAGAAAACGAATTACCTTCTATAGTTCTGATGCTTACGGTGGACTAGGTAAACCGAGATATATTTTGAAGGATCGATTGGAAGTCAATATCCATAACCTCTTGCCCGCACGACAATAGATTAGATGTAGATGAAATCAGTACTGGTATCGCTGTGAAGAAAAGTATTAGGTTTCGAAGAGTAGTACTTGTCTTCATTTTTTATGTGCGAATGTTCTCTTATTGGTTACCAGAAGCTCACATTTTCACGGTAGTTACTGAATGCTTAGATTTGAACTACCCTCCGTTTTCATCACAGTCCAAGCGATTTTCACTTGTACGATCTCTCCCTCTGTCTCTCCAGAAGGTTTTCCAACGAGCAGGATCACTGGTCCTCCTATGTTCCGAGGCTCTCTCTCTCTCGCGTGTATTGTGGCGGAAAAGTACGCTGAGGTGACAACCCACACTTCACCCCACAAACAGCAAACACAAATCTTTAGCTGACACATTCAATTTACTGTTCCTACCGATGTATAGGAGAGCGGGACAACCACTTCCTTATATGAACGAAACTATTACCAGACGGTGGTTGAATTACATTTCCCAGTTCTCTTTTTTCCAATAGCTCCCTCCCCTCCACCCGAAACGTGTATCCTCATATCTATA